GCGGGGGCGGCGGCGGCGGCCCCTCCTGCGCCCTCAGGAGAAGAAGAGGAGGCGGCGGCGGCGGAGGCTCCCTCCCCGCCGCCGCCGCCTCCTCCTCCTCCTCCTCCTCCCGCTGCCCCGGGGCCGCCCGGCTCCTTCATGGGGCTGGGCTGGCGGGCGAGGGGCGGCCAAGGGGGCTCCCGCCGGGCCGGGCCGCCGCTCTCGCTCGCCAAGCTGCTGCTGCTGCTTCTGCTGGTGCCGATGCCGCGCGGCGCACAATGCGGAGCGGCGGCCGCCGGAGCCGCCTCCCTCGCCGGCGCAGCACGGGTGGGCGGCTCGGGCTCCTCCGCCCCCTGGGAGGACATGGGCCGCGCCAACCGCTCGCCTTCCCCCCCGCCAGGCCGCTTCAGCGCTGCCGGGCCGAGCTCGGCCTGGGCGGAGGAGACTCGCGCGCCGCCATCGCGGGAGTGGAGAGGGAGGCCCGGGGGGGGGGGAGGCGGAGGCGGCCCCCGGCGGGAGGGAGGCGGCGGCGGCGGGCGGAGGAGGAGGAGGAGGAGGAGGCGAGCAACTCGGCTGAGCCTGCCCGGCCTGCACGCCGCACCGCGCTGCGCCCAGGGCGCGCCGCCTCTCGCGCGCCTCCGCCGCCGCCGCTTTGGCCACGCGTGGTTGTTGTGGTTCCTCCTCCGGCGCGCACCGAGGCGCCTCTGCCCGTCCAGAGCGGGCTCGTTCCAGGAAGCCCAAGCAGGGCGCCTTCCCGGAGAGCCGGGCGTCGCCGTGCACCTGCCGCGAAGGCCCTGCGAAGAAGAAGGAGCGAGCGGCTGTGCCCAAAGGGCCTCGCTTCCCTCCGGGCTGACTTGGCTTCCCGGCCCTCCTTCCTTCCGTCTCCCCCGGCGGTGGTTTCCCTAAGGCTGGGCTTTGGAGCGGGCATCCCTCCCCACCTGCATGCAGGGAAGGCCACCTTTTCTCTGTGCTGGACGGAGCCGGCCAAGCTCGCTGGGACCAGGCAACCCTGGAAAGCATCCCGGCGGCCGCGCTTTTTCAAAGGGAGACTCAACAGCAGCCAAGCCAACCCTGCCTGAGCAGGAAAGAAGGTTACTATGAGAATAGAGTGGAATGGAATGGAATAGAGTCTAATAAGAATAGAAAAGAAAAGAATAGAATAGAAAAGAATAGAATAGAATAGAATCTAATAAGAATAGAATCTAATAAGAACAGAATCTAATAAGAATAGAATCTAATAAGAATAGAATAGAATAAGAATAGAATAGAATAGAATCTAATAAGAATAGAATCTAATAAGAATAAAATCTAATAAGAATAGAAAAGAATAGAATAGAATCTAATAAGAATAAAATCTAATAAGAATAGAATCTAATAAGAATAGAATCTAATAAGAATAGAATCTAATAAGAATAGACTCTAATAATAGAATAGAATAAAATAGAATAGAATCTAATAATAGAAAAGAATAGAATCTAATAATAGAATCTAATAGAATCTAATAAGAATAGAAAAGAATAGAATAAAATCTAATAAGAATAGACTAATAATAGAACAGAATAAAATAGAATAGAATAGAATCTAATAAGAATACAATCTAATAAGAATACAATCTAATAATAGAATAGAATAGAATCTAATAAGAATAGAATAGAATAGAATAGAATAGAATAGAATTTAGTATCCAATGGCACAGCTTACATCAAGGATTAATATCACCCTTACTGACAGCAACCTGGTGTAGGATCTCCTGCTTGGGTGGGGGAGGGAGGGGTTGGACTAGATGATCAAGGTCCCTTCCAACTCTATTAATCTGTAAACTTCCTTAACAACTTCTCTCTTCCTTTTTTTCTTCCATTCCATCATGCCCAATTCTCAGAGGCTGCCTGTAGAAAACTCTGAAGTTTTCTTGCCAAGGATTTTCCCAAGTGCGTTGCCACTGTGTCCTTTCTAGGCTAGGAAAGTGACTGGCCCAACATTATCCAGCAGGCTCTTTGCCCAAAGCAGAACTACAACTCACAGTGTCCCCCCCACACACACACACATACACACAGTTTCTATCCTGATGCTTTAACCACTACATCAAAAACTGGCTTTCGGATTCTACTTTCACGCTGCAAATACATACATAGTTTAGTTTAGTTTACTTTGTCATTGCGTCTCTGAACTTGGCTGTTTGCTTGCAGATGCTTCATTACCCAACTGGGTAATTCGTTTTAGTTAGTTTACCTTATTGTCTTTGCATCTTGCGCAACGAAATCAAGCTCCATCTTCAGTGCACATCATGACCATGAAAATAAACACAAACACACATCCTTCACCCTCCACACATTGAATGGAAAACCCCCAAAACCGCACCAACACTGCACTTATACAGTAGAATTCAATAGAGCTACTGCCCTGGGATAGAAGCTGTTTTTCAGCCTATCTGTCCTTGTTTTTATTTTTCTGCATATAGAACACGGCAGGATGGTTTGTAAGCGAATGCAGAGACTACCAATATTTAAAAGTGCTGCGTGTCCCCTACCCAAAACCATCACGTTACATGCAGTGCTTGCCACGCCTGAGACAGTGCAAAGGAAAAACAAAATAGATCCAGGTACAGAGCTAAAACCTTAGAGGTCAGGTGGAGGGTAAGAGATGGCAACATAACCCGCATTGCTTGCTTTTCAGTGGATGTTGAGTAGGTTCCTTGGGCAATTGGCACCTAACAGAGCACCATGCCTTTCTGTGCCAGTTTATTTATTGCTTGCATGACTAAAAGTCGGCTTCTTTTGGGTGTTGTGCAGGGAAGTTGGCCACTATTACCAAGTGGTAAAGCAACTTCTGGATAGTGGGGCCAATGCTGATTGCTGGCCGAAAGAACCATACTCCACTGCACAATGCCTGCAACAACTGTCACATGGGTATTGTGGAGCTCCTGCTACAGCACGGGCCAGAAGTCAATATTAGTAATTGTGCTGATAATACTCCTATGGACTGCTTTGCAAGCCGTGGGAGATTTACCTGGAGGAAGAACCTGGAAAAGTTATAGCCACATTGCTCCTAAAGGCATGGTGCTGCCTTTATTAATCCCAAGGTAAGAATCCTCAGGTAAGCCTTCAATTCTAGTGATGCCTTGACATGGGTGGCAATTTCTTGAAACTGTTGACTGATTTTTGGATTGCATGAAATAATATGACGATAATATATGTACAGAATAATGTTTTTTAAAAGCCTAAGTTCTGCTGAGCGACAAAGCAGAAACACTGCCCCCTTCTGGTCACAGGAGTCTTCTACAATGCAGAGCATCGCCCCAGAGGCGACTTCTGTTGGGCTCAGGCGAATTTATTGATGTTTTGAAAACAGGAACATAGGAAGGAGATGCAGTGGCTGAGGCCCTTTTCCAATCATTTCCATCGCCCACATGCAGACACTAAAGACAATGAAATGTAAGGAGCATCTTTGATTCAACAACCTCTCCGGCTTTTCCCTACATGAATGACGTCCTTTGCAGCTGGAAACTTCATTTTGTACCTTTGCTGTATTGACGTTTAACTTTATGTGGAATTCTGTACCTAATTCCATGACCTTCTATTTCTTTGCTTCTCCTGAATCATGAATGGCCACCATGGTGGGGTGGGGGTGGAAGGGGGTGACTTGTAGCTCAACTTTATTTTATGCAGCTGGAGGCAGTGTACGGGATGCTCCTTCCTCCTCCCACAGAGACCCACATTCTGAGGGCAGCTGGAGGGGCTCCCTAACTGGGGCCTGGTTCCCGAGAGGCAACATGAAATGGAACTGCAGTGCCCCGAATCCAGAGCATTGGGGAGAAGAGTCGTCGGAGGCTTTCGGGACCCAGGCAGGGACGCTCCCGAGCAATGCGCAGCCCCAGACAAGCCCTCGTGACCGCGACCCTCCCCCCCCCCCGCCTGCCTTCCCCACCCCGCCCCACATAGCCTCCCTTGGCGCTCACCGGAGCATGGTGGTCTCTACCGACCTTCCCCTCCCGCCAGGCAGGGAGCAGAGGTGGGTATTCAGGTTCTGACTGGTTCTGGAGAACAGGTTAGCAGAAATTTGGAGCAGTTCAGAGAACCGGCCAATCCCACCTCTGATTGGCCCCGCCAACCCCATCTATTCTCTGCGTCCCATTGAGTCCCAGCTGATCGGCTGGGTCTCCTTTGGTTGCCCTGCACAGGAGAACGGAGCTGAAAAGCAGGTTAGTGGGGTGGGGAGGGAAGGGGGATTTTGCAGTATCTTTCCCTGCCACGCCCACCAAGCCACGCCCGCAGAACCAGCAGTAAAAAAATTTGAATCCCACCACTGGCAGGGAGGCAGATGTGCCCGAGTGCCCAGCAGGGGAAAGCTGCATGTGCCAGGGCTGCGCTGCCCGCTCTGCCCACCTTCCTCTCCCCACCCCCAGCCCCCAGGGACTTGCCCGTCAAATGGGAAGCGGGAATCTCAAAATAAGGTCCCGGCATCCTTTATGGAAAAGGAGAAGCCTGAAAAAGAGGTGTTGCTAAAGGGCCTTTCTCCTTCCTTCTTGACTGGCGGGAGGGGAGCACAGAGTTGGAAGAAGCCTTAGAGGTCATCTTGTCCAACCTCTGCATTACACATGTTCATTTTTAGAACATCTTTGTTTAATGAGTTGCTGCTCGTTTGTTGGCCTGACAAACCAGCCAATCTGCCTCACAGATTAATATAGCTGCAAAGAAACAGGAAGCAAGAGGAAAGAGAGTTAACTTGTATTGTCTCTTTATTTATCCTAAATAGACATGAGATAGTAAAAAAACAAAACAACAAAAACATTTTAAACCGCAGGGATAGGCCTGAGTAGTAAACCAGGCACTTGGTCAAAAGATTCACTGTAGGAGATTTCATCTTTCTGGACCCAAACGTAGGTAGGAGTACAAATCCAGACATGCTGCTGTGTCACACTTCTTTTTACGACACAGCACAGAAACGTGCAGGTGTTTTTCAGTCTCTCCAAGGCACACCGTTGTGTGCAACAAGATGCCGTGAGCTTTTTACACACCTGCTGGAGCAGGTGTCAAAAAGCCAAAGAATAAGGAACAAGACTGAGAACAGACTACATTCATTCTGCTCCACGCTCCAAGAGTCGAGAGAGAAAACCGGGAGACAAATGATAGCAATGGGGTAATAAAAAAAATATATATTGCACTTGAAATTTAAAAGGAAACTCAACAGGGAGACATTTTCTCACAGACACGGTATCCCGCTAGAAGGCTTCAATAAATAAACTGAGCAAGGATTATGCCTTTCAGACAGTTGAAGAGAAGCAGGATAATTCCATGGTCTGATGCGCTAATGGGAAGGACGGTGAAGAGGGAGCTTTCGGTCCAGAGAAAACATGCCGAGAGTCAAATGCAAAAAAGTCTGCAAGGGACCCTTCTCCTCCATCTTGCGCTTGTGAGGATGCGGCCCGTTTATGGAAAGCCACGGATGTCCCAAGGCAGGTTCGGGGTGCAGGAAGAACTCATCGCGCTGCCACCTCCAGAACAGCGGAAGGAAGGGCGGAAGGAAAGCGCCGGACTTCACGGTCGTCCGTTGGAAGGTCTGCTCCTTTGTAGCTTTTGGGTGCCATGACTTCATCGTACCAGAGGGGGGGAAAAAGCAGGTTCTCGGAAAGAAGGAAGAGCTAAGCTGCTTATTTCTGTAACCCCAGGCCCCTTGGGGTGGGAAGACAGATTTATTTATCCAGACAATCCCTTAGCCAAAAATGTAATGACTTGTAAACGTACTGCTCCCTGGAGGGAGGGAGGGAGGCCTACAGAGGAGGGCTAGGTTTCCTCGGGTTAATGAGGTCCAAGTACATCTCTGAGCGCAAGAAGCGAGGGTAGGGGTCCTTCTCCATCAAGCCATAGATCCTCCGCTGGGCGAGGTCGAAGCAGCCCCAGCTGATGTTCTGCAAGTTCTCTTTGGTGTATTCCCGGGTGTAGGAGTCCAGGTTGACCTAGAGCAGGGCGGACAGACACGAGTCACTGTTGGGCTGCCGCTTATTGGGGGAAACTCGAGGGTGACCTTAGAGCAGAGGTCTCCAAACTTGGCCACTTTAAGACTTGTGGACTTCAACTCCCAGAATTCTCCAGCCAGCATTCTGGGAGTTGAAGTCCACAAGTCTTAAAGTGGCCAAGTTTGGAGACCTCTGCATAAGAGGGGACAGGTGAACATATACTTGGACAAATAATTACAGCTCATTGTGTCCTGCGCTAAAATAGAGACAATGTAGTTTTTTTTTAATTATATTTTTTATTATAGTTTTATTAATTTATAATATGATATACAAAAAGAATAGAAAAGCAAATATTAGGGAAATTAGGAAAGGAAAAAGGAAAGTGAATAGCGGGGGAAAGCAAGGGGGAGGGAAGATTTTGACTTCCTACTCCTTTGGTGCAGTAAAATAAAGCATTAAGTCCTGTCCTCAACTTTTTACTTTTTATAGTAATAGAAACTAGCCATTTCTGCAACAACAAATCTATCTAATTGGTAAAACCCAAAAGCAAAGTTTCATTTTATTTTCCACATCAAGCCCAAAATCCAGAAGTGGTTTCCAAGTAGAAATGAAAGTATTTGTATTTTTTTTTTCCCCGTTTGATCAAAGCAGTCAATTTAGGCATCCCTGCCAACTCCCATCAGTTTTTGTAGCCATTCATTCGTTCGTTGTGGGGATTGAGGTGACCGAGGAGACAATGTAGTTTTTGATGAGTGGCATAATGTCTGCTAGAATTTTATCTAGTTGTGAAGCATGCTTCAAAAAACAGCCAAGCCTGTTCTGAGATTCCAGTGCACAGAAGGGCAAAAAGAAGAGAAAGAGGGAAGATCTGAGGCCTCCAGCAGCTTCTTTTTAAGATTTCATGGGATAAAGTTACGTTACAAGCTTGGAACCGATTTAAAAGCGTCTTTTTTTTTTTCCAAAAGGGTCCTTGGCCTCATTTCTCTGAAGAAATCAGGGCAGGAGGTAGCGCTTAGGGTCTCCATTTAGCAGCATTAAAAACGTGCTTAAATTTCAGCAAAGTTATTTCTATTCCACACTTGAGCCGAGTAAACTTTCTACAAAATGGTCTGCCTCCCAACCAGGCCAGCCCCAAACACAAACCCAGCATCCCACCCTCTGGCTTACCTCTTTGCAGGACTGGACAGCAATGTATTCGGTGAAGATCTTCTTGGCTTTGGCTATCATCTTGGACTGGGATTTGATGTTCTTGTATTCCTCGCATGCCAGCCAGAACTCCAGGTTCTCCTCACTGAACTCGGTGCGCAGGAAAGAACGGAAGGCAGCCACCCCATCTGAGCAGGGATGAGAGGATGCAGCGGCTTTTTGTGAGACGTGCTTGTGCTGCAAAGGCACTGAGGCCTCTTTTTTTTTTTGGCGCAGCCACCTTGCCAGGGAAACGGGCAACATAAAAAATAATGCAATAAATAAATATAAAGGGGGAGGGTCAGAGGTGGTATTCAGCGGGTTCTGGCCGGTTCTCGAAAACCGGCAGCGGAAATTTTGAGTAGTTCGGAGAACTGGCAGATACCGCCTCTGACTGGCCCCGCCTCCATCTATTCTCCGCCTCCTGAGTCCCAGCTGATCGGCTGGGTTTCCTTTGGTTTGCCCTGCACAGGAGAACGGAGCTGGAAAGCAGGTTAGTGAGGTGGG